GCATCCCGATTTCCTCCCATGTGCTGGCACTTACATTTATAAGGCTGTTTGGTGAGTTGGATTCACAAGATGATTTAGCTGAAATTTTTAGGGTTTGGGGGTTTTTTTTGCATGTTAAGTTTTCACCTGGATCAGCTGATCTGTCTGACCATGTATGCACACAACCAGCAGTAGCAGTAACACACAGGTATTACTCTGAAACTGGCCAGAGCAGATTGGGATGATCTCTTTAGCCGGCAGCTTATGGCACCTATGTAATTAAATGAGATGTCTGGCACAAAATAATGTGCATGTTGTGTCAAAAAAAGCCACATGGAAAGAAAATTCCATCAAATGACTTCTAAGCTTACATAAAAAGTCCGTACCAGAGTCAAGGAGAGAATCTGTATTTCAACAGCAGTCAAATTATCTTTACACTTACATTTTCTTCCTATAGTTCCTGCTTCATTCACCCAGTACATATTCCAAATTCTGCAACAAATGAGGCAGAAGTCCTACAGAAAACAATCTAATTCATCACACAACTACAGGGTTTTCTCTGTACGGTGAATGAAGCTGAAATCCCTTGGGGAAAAAGCAGTATGCAGTAGTTAATGCTATTTTAACACATATAGACAAAGAGGGCAAATTAACTTTAAATAATTTAATTTGAAACCAGAAAGATACTTTCATATGGGCTTCTGTATCTGACTACTGAGAGATTAAAAAGGCAAATCCAAACTCCAGGAATTTTACCATGTGGAACTACAGTGGAGTCAAGTGGCAGGGTAAGAACACTTAGGGGCACGTTACCATCTCAGTTATAGAAATTGATTTTTAAATAACTCATCATTTTCAAAAATCTTTCACAGCTTGTTACAGAAAATACATAAACATGCAGCTTAGAACCATAAAAGCAGACCAAGTCCATTAAAATTGACAGACTTTCAATTGACCATAGATCAGGCTCCACGCATATAAAGCAGTGTTTTCAAAACACTGTACGAACACAAACTTTTTTTTTAAATTACTTCAGCAAGAAAATAAGTATTATAAAGAAAGACATATTTGGTATACTAGTAGTACAGAAAACTGGATTCATTTTCCTCAATGACTTCTGTAATTATGAGGAGCAAATCTGATGACACAAAAGGAAAACAATGCCTGCCTGCCTGCCTTTTAAAATTGGTATTCTGCTGTGTATAATCATTCTATTGCTGTGATGTTCTTCACACCATTGTGGTATCAAGCAATCCCATGAACGCTTTTAGGCAAGAAACCAGAAACTTACGGTGACTTATCATCTTGTGAATTGGCAAAACAGTTAATGTTTAACAGTGATGTACAGACCATCAGTTCCTTTTTTTATTTGTTTGTTTAATACACACTGAAGATATCATGGTTTGTTTCACAATACAATCACTTTCAGACAGTACATTAAAACCTATGGGTATAAATTAGATCATAAATTGAGGGTTCTCCTTGTTTATGAGGTAACAACTGTATCCTGTGGAGGTGTTTATTAGACCCGTTACAGGTACAGTGGCCACCAAGTTAAGTGGAAGCATGCCCAAGTTTTTCTTATGATACAAAAATAAGAGCTGAATTTCAGAACAAAAAACCCACACAAAATAAGTCAAAAGACTGAAAAATACTTGTAGAAACGTGCACCAAACTGAATGAAGTGGGAATATCGCAAGCATTATAAAACTGTAACAAGCACTCCAACCAGTTGCAAATGAGATTCTAGTCTTCCTGTGCTTCCCAACACTAGCATCTACAATCAATAGATTGGAAAATATATATGACTGCTAGCAGTCTTTGCATTAACTTTGTTACAGAAAGCAACATGGAGCAGAGATTGTGTCTATGAAGAAATGGGGTGGTAAAGTAAAAAGATAGTTGTAAGGTCATAAAAATGAAATCAAAATTTGCACTTTGTGCATGAATTGATTCCTCATAATACCACACTGTAATTACCTACTCTGAAAACACAGTGGTTTTAAGCTCTATGGAGAATAAAGAATGGTATTTAACTCTGAACTTGGCTGTAAATCACACTATGCAATCATCTTAGGGTAATGGTAGACACCTACTAATATCACAGTTAAACTATCAACTAACACAAAATAAAAAACAGACCGGGGGTCCACTACCTACTGTCCTACACCAACTGTGGCCGAGACTACCTGCAAGGAATGACGGTCATTACTGGAAGTCCTCTGCCAGGTGTTCTGCTCTGTCTCCCTCTCTTTATTTTCCCCCTATAGCTTACATGTCCTCTTCCATTCCCCCCCCCCCCCCCCAGTTGTCATTCCCAACCGTTTGCTTTTCCCATAGTTTCTTTCTCTTTAGTCCTCTGTCCTTGGAAGGAAACATAGTTTATATAATAGATGGACTGGAACCCAGCCCCAAGGCAAAAATCAAGAGCAGCTGCCACAGGCAGATACTGAGGAAACGATGTAAGAACAAAGCAAGCACATAGTTACTTCCTGAGTACGTTCCCTCAGCATCCAACCATTCGCAGCTCTGAAACTCCCTGAGCCAAAGGTAAATTTAAGTTTTTCATGCTTTTTTTTTTTCCTTATGTATTTCATCTAGTTGCTTACGGAATTTGTGCAAACTTACACCATCTACAACATCTTGCAATGTAGATGTCCACAGCTTAATTACGTATGGTCTGATGTTTGGTTTATATACAACATACTTGCAATGTCTGTTTGATTGCTGGGAAAATGGTATGCAGCGAACTGTTTCTGCTAGGAACATCTCATTTTTTCTCACTGGATTTTTGAGCTTTTCATTGGAATAGTTCTGTATTAACTAATTTAGGCAAAAAGTGGCTTACACTGTGTATCCAGAACCTCCCATCTACTTTTTGCATTTCACCATGCAAAATGCTTCTTTGCGATGAAAAACAGCAATTCACATCTTTGAGGGCTGTTACCTCCTTATGACAGCATATTAGCTCCTCTTGCTTTCAGTGAACCTTCACGCTACAAGGTTATTTACTTTTCTTTAAATAATTTCAAAATCTATAAAACCTTGTTGCAGTAGGAAAGTCTACAAAACATATTTAGTATATACATAATACATACATCAGACGTTTGTAGTTTGGTCCATAGACTGATAACTTCATACTGCAGTTCTTCTAACCTATTTCACTTCTGTACATTGTAGACTGAAGTGTCATCTGCGTTATAAAAAAAAAAAAATCAAGAACGTGTCCTAGTGAACAAGTGAAATGAACAAAGATAGACATTATGGACAGTAACATTATGTTTTTTAAAAACACTTTCGCTGGAAAGTATCCCACAAGAAGACAGGAAGATGTTGCTTGTTTGTTTTTTTTAAAGAAGCACTATTGATTGTTTTTAAAGGAGCAGTGGTAGTGAAGGACCATTTAGGGTTTTTTTTTAATCTATTTCAAAAGAAAAAGTCATAATTCTCATCTTTGGAAAGATAGGGGAAAATCACCCTTTCTATGGCCCAGGAAAATTATATCCTTATGGTCCTTCAAAGTGGGTATCAGATTGAAAGGAACACCCCCTTCCCTCCCAAACACACGTATCTCCTACTATTAAGGGTACTGCTTGGTAGAGCTAAAGAAAATAAAGTCTCTTTATATTAAATAATAGCCTCCTTTGAAAGAACGCTCTTTTTTCAATTTCACATTATTTTTTGGTCTCTGAGTAAGGAATGGAGTCTGTAATTTGGCTTGGCTTCACTGTATTTTCTTTTACTGTGGAGCAACTAACGAGTTTCAAACATTTGCATTTAGGCCATAGTAGCAAAAATAGCCATTCCCAGGAAGGCTCCTGGTTCCAAACAAAACTCACTAAAATCCATGGAGGATCAAGTGATAGAGGGTTCATTGGGTATCGTCAATCAATTAGAAATCAGTCTCACAAATATTCCTAAATGACTGACCCTGCTGACATACCCACGCTATTCATTTTTCCTTCAAGTTCCCGATCTTGTACTCTGGCAAGAAACTTTGTAAAGTTTCTGGCTAAGATGCAGAAAAACACTTAAAATGTGATCCTATGGCTTTCAAGAAAGAAAGCAAGTGAACAGACCTGAAATCTATAAAAATAAAAAATTACATTCTTAAGATTCAAAGCAAATTACAGGGATTAAGTGCCCGAAACCTCAAGGTTAGGACTCCAGTAGCCTATGTATAGTTCATTGATGTGATTAAACTGAAGTTAAATGAGAGTATTTGTATTTCTCAGTCAAATGCATAGTTCTCTTCATAACCTCTACTTTGCATGCGTTGTTCATGAAAGGGCATACCTATCTTCCAGGTTATTCAATAGAAGTTACTAAAAATGCCCAGCGCAGAAACTAAGGCTTGCAACATTTTTACTGATACTTGAACGGTATTTAATAATATAATTTGTCTAAGTTTGAGGCCTAGCAAACTTGGAAGTAAACCCAAGCACAAACCTGGATGGTTTTCTTCTGCAATTTAGCGGAAGCCATTTCTGCCTGCGTGTGCAAGGCTGCAGGCCAACACCACTCAGGCCCTCTCAGGATCTGCAGCCCCCAGCCCCAGTGCTTCAGCATTCATTTTTTTATTTAAAGCAGAAAAAACAGTCATTTAGACGTGGCTTTTGGAAAGGGCTTTAAAAATTATACTTTAACGCCTTAATACAGCACGGCTTACACACCGCATCACCGGGCCGGCGACACCACCCGCAACAGGGCCCCGACCTGCTCTGCTGCCCCTCGGCCTCCTCAGGCCCCGGGCACCCGAGGCCGGCGGCCGGCGCCGGGCAGGAA